ATTATGTATATTTATAAGAATCATCGTATTGCTAATAATATTATTTCTAACACTCCCCCTAGAAGCTGGTGCGTATATATCAAAAGCTCCCAGCTGTTACAAATATGATCTATTCGGGGACCTTGAAGAGCTTTAGTGAATACATCCGCAAGTTGATCATTGGAATTGACAAATGCTGTCTCGATCTCCCTTGACTGGATCTTTTCTCTAACAAAACGACAGTCAATTTCTATATGCTTGGTCCTCATGAAAGACTGGTTTAGAGGATATATGCAAAGCGGCTTGGTTGTCACAAATGAGCTTCATAGGCCTTTGTTCACAGAGATGGAGTTCCTTCAGCAATTGTCTCAGCCAGATGAGCTCACAGGTTGCATTTGCCATTGCCCGATATTCTGCCTCTGGCCTTGTCACAGTAAGATAATTCAATTTTCCAACTAGTCGGCGGTAGCGACTAGGATCTGGCAGTGGCTCCCCCTGTCCTGGTAATAACTTAACATTGGGGTCCATAGGTGTATCAATGGGTTTACAGCCTAACATTCCAGTCTCATCTAGGATATTCAGTGCATACTTCCTCTGACAGATGGAAATGCCCCGCCTAGACTGTGCAACTTCGATCCCCAAGAAATATCGAAGTCTGCCAAGATCTTTGGTCTGAAATTGATTGAATAAATGCTCTTTCAACTGATCAATCCCGATCTGATCACTGCCTGTAATGATAATGTCATCAACATAGACCAGGAGATAAACGCACTGGCCAGAAGAGCTATGCCGGTAAAAGACAGAATGATCGGCTTTGCTTCTGATTAAGCCAAAGGATTCAACAATTGAACTAAAGCGGCTAAACCAGGCCCGAGGAGATTGCTTCAGGCCATATAAAGATTTCCGAAGTTTACATATCATTCCAGAACTCTCCCCCTGAGCAACAAAACCTGGTGGTTGCTCCATATAAACGTCTTCCTGCAAGTCACCATGTAGAAAAGCATTCTTAATATCAAGTTGGAGAAGAGGCCAGTGATGAATGGCGGCAAGGGCAAGAAACAGGCGAACAGAAGCCATCTTAGCAACAGGAGAAAAGGTATCCCCATAATTAAGACCAAAGATCTGTGTGTATCCCTTGGCCACTAAGCGAGCTTTAAGGCGATCAACAGTGCCATCAGGACCAACTTTAACTGTGAACACCCATCGACAACCAACAACAGACTTCCCGGGAGGAGCACGAACAAGATCCCAAGTGCCATTATAGAGTGAAGTGCCTGCATTTCATCAAGCATCGCCTGGCGCCACCCTGGATGAGATAGTGCTTCACCTGTGGTTTTAGGGATGGAAACAGAAGAAAGACTAGAAACAAAAGTAAAATGTTGTGAAGAAAGTCTGTCATAACTCAAGAAAGAATAAAGGGGATGAGGATTTCGAGTGGATCGAATACCTTTCCGAAGGGCAATGGGAGGAGTCTCTGATGGAGGATCCGGAGGAGAAGAGCCGACGGGAAAGGGCGATGAGTCATCAAGAGGCAAAGTCGGAGGAGGTGCAGGCTGACGACGCTGGTATGTGAGGAGAGGACGATCTGCAGGTATGGAGGTAATTGGTTGCTCCTCTGGAATAGGGGCGCCTGCAGCTGGTAAAGACAAGTCAAGAAAAGGAACAGGAAGGACTTGATCAACTTGTGACACTGGAGACGGAGTAGAGTGAAAAGGCTGCTGATCAAGGAAAGTGACATCAGCAGAAACGATATAACGCTTGAGATCAAGAGAATAGCAACGATACCCTTTTTGAAAACGGGTATACCCAAGGAAAATACATTTGAAGGCCTTGGATGTCAACTTGTCTTTACCTGGAGTAAGATCATGAACAAAACAAGTACAGCCAAAAATATGTAAAGGCAGAGGATAAGAAGGTGCTCCGGAAAACAAAATACTGTGGGGAACATCATTATTTAGCACAGAAGAGGGCATGCGGTTGATAAGGAAACATGAGGTGATAATAGCATCTGCCCAAAAACGAAGTGGGACGTTCATATGAATGAGAAGAGTACGTGCAGTTTCAACTAGATGTCTATTTTTACGTTCAGCGACTCCATTTTGTTGTGGAGTGTGGGGACAAGTAGTCTGGTGTATTGTCCCATGTGTATCCAAAAATTTAGAAAATTCAAGAGACACATACTCTTTTGCATTATCACTGCGCAAGATTTGAATAGAAGCACCAAATTGAGTTTTTATTTCTGCACAAAACTTTTGATAAATTGAAAATAACTCAGAACGATTTTTCATTAAATAAACCCAAGTGCAACGAGAGAAATCATCAATAAAGGTTACAAAATACTGAAAACCCAAAACTGACATAGTCCGACTCGGACCCCAAATATCAGAATGAACAATAGAAAAGGGAGCAGCAGCTCTTTTATTGACTCTACTAGCAAAGGAAGAACGAGTATGCTTTCCCTGCTGACAAGACTGACAATTCAAAGACTTAAGACCTGACAAAAAAGGAACCATATGCTGAAGCTTCGAGAGACTTGGATGACCCAGACGGCTATGGAGAAGCTCAGGAGACTCTGTGAGAGAGCATGCATGCAGATAGTAGAGACCTCGTGACTCACCGCCCGCTCCAATCGTCTTCCCCGTACCCGGATCCTGCATAGAAAAAGACTGTTTAGAAAAGGTGATAGAGCAAGAAAGAGAATGGGTCAATTGACTAACAGAAATTAAATTAAAAGGAATGCCAGGGATGTAATAAACAGAGGTTAAAGTCAAGAAGGGAGTTGGTTTGGCTTGCCCAATGCCACGAGCAGGAGCCTTGGTGCCATCAGCAAGAGTAACGGAGGGAAGATTATTAGAAAAGGTAAGGGAAGTAAAAAGATCCTTATTACCACAAAGATGATCAGTAGCACCTGAGTCTATTATCCAGGGTCCAAGAGACGATTGAGAAAAACAAGCAACATGATTACCAGTATCTGGAGCAGGTGGCTGAGAAGAACTCTTCTGGAGAAGGGCCTCATAGTCTGCAGCGGAAATAGTCACTGATCCGGTAGAGGGTGGCACAACATCTGTTTGAGCAAAGTTCATATGTGGTGGCTTCAAGTGAAGGTACTTTCTATAACAACGTTCTTCAATGTGGCCCAGATATTGGCAATAATTACACCGAGGCCTTTGTCCTCGGCCACCCTGTCCATACGACATCGTCTGTCCGCGCCCGCCTGGGCCATATGATGTCATGGGCCCGCGACCGCCTTGTCCACGGCCACGACCACGACCGCGTCCACCATTGTTCCAATTACCACGAGAGACTAAAGCAGCAGAATCAGACAAGAGAGCAGTAGAGTCAGTAGCTGGCACGTGTGCGGGGGCCACCTTATCTTGAAGATTCAGAAGGCGCTGAAAGGTCTGGGATATGCTGGGAATCGCAGTACTAGTTAGAATGTTCTCACGAACACTTTCTAATCCGTCAGGGAGACCAGAGAGAGTCACAACTGTAAAGAGACGCTCCACTTGCGTCCTGTACACTGTAGCATCCGCAACATGAGGTAACATAGCCAAAAATTCCTGCATCAAAGAACGAATCTTACCAACATAAACTTCCATACGAGCTTCGGGTGATTTGCGCAAATCCATCATCTGGGAGACAATGGAATAAAGTTGTTGAATATCATTGGTGTAGAGGTTTTTGGCTTCCGTCCACACATCATAGCAGGTCTCAAAAGGAATGAAAATATTGAGAAGAGATGAATCAATGGATTGCCAAAGAATACTGAGAAGCTGAGCATCAACTTTCTCCCATTCAGTCATCTGATCTTGGGAAATATCAGTCTTCTTAGTGGTGAGATGTTTGTCATGGCCTTGACCGGTAAACCAGATCTTAACGGAGGTAGACCAGGTCTTGTAAGTGGCAGATCCGGTCAATTTCAGAGTTGTGATAGATGGAATAGCACTTGAAATGATGCCGGAAGAATGTTTACTGGTTCCTTCCATCAGGAACAGCGATCAGACAACCAAAAAACTGTAAAAATTACGCGAAAAAGGAACAAAGTAGCGACTTTTGCACTGGAAACCCTCGAACGGAAGAGACCCACAACGATCGGTCACTGGATCTGGAAGGAGGAGGCAGAGGCGAGCCTGTCTGCCTTGGTTTGGTCGGAAAAGGTGGCCGGAACAGTGCACACGCGCCGGAGAGAGGTGGCGCGTGATGCCCACGCGCAGACAGCTGTGGTGGCGCGTGGAGGCGCGTGCGGCGGCCGTTTGGGACGGGTCTTGGACAGAAATGGTCGCCGGCGTGAGGGGATCCTGATCGCGTGGTTTCTCGCCGGAAAGGTGGCCGGAACAGTGATGAACAGTGACGGAACAGTGTTTCTGGCGATGTGAACAGTGGTTTCTGGTCAAATAATGAAGGAGGATAACGATCTGAGATCGAAAAAGGGTCTAACAATGTTCGGAGGGTTGAAAAGGGTTGCCGGTACGATGCACGGCGGTAAAAAGGTTTGCCGGTATGATGCACGGCAGTAAAACGAAAGGAAAAGATATATATATGCGGAAGCAGAGCCCTCAGATCGAGAGCTCTGATACCAAATTGAATCTGAAATATATTGTATATTCAAGTGTATAAGTCTGTACAAGGAGGCTCTCTATTTATAGAGACTAAAAAGACCTAATGGGATGACCTAATGGGCCAAGCCCACAATCTAGACTATTCTAGACTATTCTAATAATAATAAAATAATATTATTTCTAACAGAATGAATAGACTCCTCCCAACATGTTAAATTCGAGGATTATAATATGTTGGGCATACCTCATCCATGCCATCAATTTCCACCAATAAGTCAGGTAAAACAGCAAGTGATGCCTCATTTTCCCTATTATACACAAACACAAATGTAAAAGTTGTTAAAAAAAAGTAAGGAAAAGTTAGGAGAATAAAAAAGTACAATAAAAAGCATATGCACACCCCTAGGGAAAATAGGGAAAATGAAAAAGTAGAATAAAAAGCATTTGCCCTTTCTTTTTAATATTACTGGGTAAATGAAACTTTAACAGTGTATTCTTGTATACCCATTGAATAATGAAGAGGATTGAGCATGCATTCTACATTTGTTTCAGTATGCTACTATACAGAATCCTATTATATACTCACACAACTACCAACTTCTGTTGAGCCAAGTATATTTCTTTTGGAAAATTTGCACACTTAACAAGCGGTTCAGAAGGCATTTTTACGGAGTCCAAGTATAGACCTCATTTTTACAGCTTTATAAACAAAAACATAATTACCTCTGCTTTATACTTCTATAGGCATCAACAAATTGGAATTCCCTCAAGCACTCTTCCCTCATTTCCAATAGATTGGCCAGGCCTATCTTCCCGTATGCTGCAGGCTCCTCCATCAACCTATTCAGTTGGTGTGGAAGTTAATTAGAGGAAAAAGCTTAAGCCAATGTAACAACGAAATTTAAAATCTTATTAAACCTAACAAATATGGTGACGTTAATAATGCTATCAAACTGATACAAAAGGACTGAAAAGAACTTTATGTTTCAGCATACATGCAACGACCTGCACTTCACTAGAGATTTGAGATGAGATTTAATAAACCCTAGTTCTTAGTAAACCCACTTTCTGCTTCAGCTGAATACTTACTCAATGGAGGTTTGCACAAATTTTGTAGTTCCATTTGAGCAATTATTTTCTATTACCTTGGGGTATTCATGCTCTAGCAAGAAAGAGAGAGTGTAGGAGACATCCTTAAATCTTTCTGAACTTAGAAAATCAGTCTTAGGGATTGAGATAAGGGGAAGTTTCTTCAGCGTGTTCTTGCGAAGAAAAACACAACTGGTGGAGTGATTCAAGCTAGTGGGAGCTTGATGTGTACACTCAGAACAAGTTCAGGGGATAAAGTTCTCAAGCTTAGTTAGGGTAGCAGATTCAAGTCACAAGTTATCACCAAACCACTAAATTTTATTTGTGCTCTCTTCTATCCTTATTTTACTTAACTTAAGCATTTAGGTTATTTGATAGCACATTCATGTGTGCGAAATTCATTTTTAAATTTGCATGCTAGTTTGCTATGATATTTCCTCAACTTGGTTGAAATTTTCAAAAGTATTTTTGTTTAAAAGAGTTTGTGTTTAAACCATTTTCCTTCCCTTCTTAGTGTTCCTATTTTTCAATCAAATACAATTTCCCTAACTTATCATCACATACACACGGGTGTTTCTCTTCACATGCTTCCATTGGAGAAAGAATGATTACTACAAAAAAGTAAGAATGGGGAGGAAGGATATCGTAGAGGGAGATCAACATAGCCAAATTTGTGAATTCTAGCAATTTCAACATGATCCGTGCATATATCTAAGATACAAGCAAGAAAGCTCCTTTCAAAAGCAGATTCATGATGTGAGTTTCTCAAAAACTATGAAATACACTGCAGGATCGCTTGACCCATTATGCATGGTGGACGTTAAAACTAGGCCAATTGATTAAAGATAACAAAGATCAAGAACTCTGAAATGGTTCTTACACAAGTTTGAATCACGATAAGCAAAATGATACCCAAGCTTCAATAACAATAGTGAGCAATCAAAACAGGAATCTTATGTCAATATTACCTTGCCAAGTGGGCAGAAAATGCTCGAGCAAAAGCATCACCCCTTCTTTTGGCATCATCCGTTCCACCTTCACTTGCTACAGCCTATCATATTTTACTTGAGAATCTCAAAATCATAAACTCCCTTAGAAAGAAATGTCTAACAATTTGTCTTTTCACATTATATTTCCAACAAGATGCACAATGAAGTACAGCCAAACAATAAACCAAGTAAGCCAAGGGTTCTATCCAGCCCATCAATAAGCTCAATGCATGGCTATAAGAGTTTACAAGAGCAACCACATTATGTGCTCCAACTGATTGCCAGAAAAATTATGAAAGCCAAAGTATAAATAATAATATTTAAAGCAATAAAATGCCAATCATTTAATAGATCTTAAGGTTCACAGGCAATACAAAACCTTCTCTCCTAATGTTTATGTTAAACTTCTATCTGATTCTGAGACTAGCAGCCATTTATTTTAACACGTCCAGCTACTAGATAATTACGGTAATTGTGGAGTCATCCAGTAAGCTAAAGCACTATACATTACAGTTTTAGGTCTAATAAAGAGAGAAAGGCTCTTTGACAGTTTGGAATATATACAGTTATTTGGTGAATATACTTGCAGAGGAAAACTTTGTTTCATAGAGTAAAGTTTGGTGTGGCCTCTTATGACATAAAGTGATCTTTTTGGTCTCTTTATGGTGTCATGTATTATTTTGAGTTTCTATAGAAGGTTTTGTATGATGGACATGCAGACAACTCACAAGCATTTAAAAAAAACCACTCTCCGTTAGGTAATCCTTGTACGCAGCCTTACCCAGGCTGTTTCCTGGATTCGAACCCATGACCTTTTAGTCATGAAAGAACAGTTTTACCACTGCTCTGGTTCGCCCCTTTTACATGAAAGAACAAGCATTTCTTAGTTGATATTTTCTTGTTTTCCGGGGTGTTTGTGTTTCTTGGTTTCTTTAAGGAGAACATCTTATTCTCCTCTTTTGTACTTCCCTTTCACTTTTTTAATATAAAATTATAAATATATATTGACACAAGTGAAAAACGATTATAGGCTTATAATTATTCACTTATTATATTATCAGTTACCTAGAGTTATCTGTCATGTTTTAATTTCTTATAATGTGCATGGATGTGCCCAATTTTATTGGGTTTGTGGCCATACACAGACACAATTATGAAGGCTACAGATTTCAACTTTCAAGACAACATGATTACCTTGTCCACAAGATCTGGCAAGTGATCTGACAAAATTTTGAACCAATATCTACATCAGATACAAAAAGTGTTAGCTATAAAAGAAAAATTAGAAACTATGAAGCCCTAATTGAGAATTAATTAACAGTAATTCCCTTACTCTAATTCACTGTGATATGCGAGATCAATTGTATTGGGTTCATACCTGTAGAGACACAATTAAATGTGTTCAAAAAAATAGAATACCGATAACATAAATTCACCTTATTAACCTGAATTTTGAAAGAAGTAACAAAAAATTCATTGATGAGTAAGCAAGAGCAAACATATCAAATAAGAGGATCAAAACATGACCACTGGATTTATGGTCAAGATTATATTTTACTTAAAAAATTCTTATGGTCAAGATTTGTTCCTCTAACAATAAATCAATATATCTATGTATGCATATTAGTATATGTATGCATGCGCGCGCGCACACACACATAGCTCTCTATTACAACCTTCTTTGGCCATATAAATTACCAAAAATATCAACAAAAAAGCAACCCAATAGATGGAAAAAATTTAATCTCAGAACAGTCAGTGCATTGAGCAATCATGCTTACAATTTGGGGTCTGCTAATAATGGAAACACCTCCAAAGTTGGTACTAGATGGAGAACACCAACATTCAGAGCACTCGCATCAGATCGCAGAGTACTTCCTTTTGACAAAGGAACTTCAAAACCCCCAAGTCCAGTAGTACCAGCAAGTGGAGTCATTGGCACAGGTGCAGTAATCTCAGTTCCCTTCCGCAAAAACTTCTCCATCCACGAAATCTGCATTGGAACCTTTAAAATCACATTAAATTTTCAAACAGATTGTGTCACTTCTGAACACAAGAAAAAGAACTATACATATAACTCCAGATGGCATATCATAGTTGTAACCACCTAGAAGAATTTACAAGAAATGATAAAATCAATCTACCAAGTACCAAGAATTTAAACCGATAACTAAGCTTTAGCAGACATGCTCATTTGCTATATAAGCATACTTCTTGTCAGGTACAACATAACCACCACACTCCCTCTCCTATACATTCAATAGTTATCAATCTCAAATAATGGCGTATAGTGGTCAATCCCAAAAATGCTATAGCAGGATAGCGGATAGCAGAATGGCCGCTATCCCAAAGATTAAAAACACAAGATAATTAATTTATATTATACACATATAAATGCTAAAAAAATAGAAAAAATATCCAAAATTAAAGTCAGATTCGTTATTAATAATCAAAACTCTAACCTAGAGGAGTTGTTAAAAAAAAACAGAATTGAAGTGTGAAGGAAGAACATGACACAGAAAAAAAGAACAGAGACCTATGGGCTATGGTGTGACCTGAATAGAGACCAAAGGATGAAAGGTAAGAACAGAGAAGCGTGAACAGAGATCTGGACGCTCCCAAGTGCAGTGGTTCTGTCAAGAATGTTGGGGTTGGCCGAAAACAATGCTGACGCAATGGGTAACAGAGACCTGGACCCTGCCGGAGAGCAGTGGGTCTGTGAGAATGTTGGAGTTGGCCAGAAACAATGCTGGCGCAGTGGGTCAGTGGCCAGAAACGAAACAGAGGTCACACTTTGTCTTTCTTTCATTGAAAGAGTGTCACACTTCAAGAGTTTCTTTGTCGAAACAGAATAATGGGTTTGATCTCAGAAAATAGGGAGGTAAAGAGGGGTTTTACCTGCGCTTTCCCACAATAACAGCCGCAAAAGCCACAAGTGAAAAACACTCTACATAGAAATTTTGTCGCAGTCTGAGGCCATGATGCTATAGCACGCTATTAATAAATCATAGTAAAAGAAGTGCACCTTTACTTCTTTCCTTTTCAATTTCTATTTCATGCTAGAATTTAGAGGCACTTTCATTATTCATTTCCATGTTCCACACCTTCTGTCTTAGGTAGCTATCCAACTTGGTAGGCAATTATTCCAACTCAATTGAATATGATTCCAGGGGATGACATTAAAAATTATTCCAGAGAATCCCATTAGTGGAGTTACTTTAGCACTTTTATTGTTGCAACTTCAAGAGTAACCTCTGACAATAAAGTCAGACCTTCTTGATGGTAATGGAATTGATGCCCCCAAAAAAACAGTCTTATTAAATTGGCTTCAGTGGCATGGATGCTACCAATTTAGTCAAAATCGAAATTCTACCTAGGATCGGAAGGGGGAAGGAAACTCCTCACTTGTGGGATAGTAACACGGATCATAAGATCCTACCTAGAATAGAAAACTGCATTCAAACATATATATGCATATAAAATAATATAAACAAGAAAAAAAAGCATTAAATCACTATTAAATTTAATTAAACTTCAACTGAACCAGCATAAGAAGGTCACAGTCACATAAAAAACGTACATAAAACTAAAATGCCAAAAGAAATTACATATATTGTAAAATAGATTTTATTTTTCTTATTGTTTTTAGTTTTAAAATTTTCGGTTTTGAGCCTTCCAAACTGAGTCATGTTATCCTAGAAATACTGCATATTCTAGGAGGAAGATCTTCCTTAAAAAGAATGATTCAAACCCTTTAAAATAAAATGTATTTTCAGAAAGTAATATGGGGAATTATAATATTTAATTCGAAAAAATAAGGTTTAAATTTTTATAAAATTTAAAGACCTACATAAAAAAATATGGATGGCTACAATTAGCTTTCTGTTTTGGGGAAAAACTAAGCAAAACCAAACATACTAACTTCATAAATGAGAAGTTAAGCATAAACCCCTAAAGTTATCCATTTATCTCAAGCATTAAACCAGCACCACTCGGATATTTCCAGTTCCTATAACTTGCCTTCTCATTCAAATCTCCAAGTGGTGGGCCATGAATCTTGCCTCCAGTATATGGAGCACCCATTGGAAACCTTTCAACTAACTGATGCACCATGAGGTCATCTAAACCATGCTTTTCATAACTCATAAATGCACCTAAAGCTCCCAGAAATCCTTCATGTCGCAAGAACATTGCTTGTGCTCCCCCATTAGACCTAAATGAAAATTATATAACCACATGTCAATATGGTAATTTCATTAAAAGGAAACAAATTATAGCTGCATCAAGTCGTTAGGCATTTTATGTACCAGAATTGAACAGCAAAAGAAATAGTGTCCATGGTATAGGCATGACCCCTTATAAAAAATCCTCCAAAAAAGATTCGCTTCAGCCGAAATCGCAATGCAGTCAAGTAAGATATCTATACAGAGATGAAAAGAACACAAGATTGGTCAGGTACTAGCTGGAAGAACAGATAATGGAATAGAACATGAAATTTACTTAAGGTGGATTCCTTATAATGCTACCAAGCATCATCCAGTGCTAGTGTGACAGATCATCTTCATGAATTAGAATTGTTTCTATCTTTTCTTTAGGTTGCAGTTACATTTGGATCAAAGGAAACTATTTCTTGGAAATCTTTTAGAGCAAAATAATAAATTGAAAATTCAATATATTATCTCCTAGATCTTAAAAAGAAAGGTTCACAACTTTTAAAAAAACTAATATAAATTTTTGTCCACATAAATTGAATAACTGTCATAAAAATATGAGTAGAAAAGCTTCTAGAAAGAGTATATTCTTTCATCTATATATATATGTTGTTAGAGATATCAAAACACTCATGAACTTCCATCTAACAACTTAAACTTAAAGACAGTTGGTTCTTGATATGATATTGTTGAGATATATAAAACCATTAATGTAGCCTCACCCAAAAGCTTAAGCTTTTGGGTTGAATTGGTTCTTTACATGGTATCAGAGCCTCGTGTCCCGGGTTCGATCCTCACTGCCCCCCACTTTCTTTCAAGTGGAATTTCTTTGTCCGCACAGGTAGGTGGGCCTGTGCATTGTCCACCCTTCAAGCCCAGTGGGCTCTCGTGTGAGGGGGCGTGTTGAGATATATAAAACCATTAATGTAGCCTCACCCAACAGCTTAAGCTTTTGGGTTGAATTGGTTCTTTACAGATATCAAAGCCTATATGTGGTCAAGAGTTCAATTTTTGATGCCTCAATTCCAATAAATAATTGAATTTCAAAACAGGGTAGAGTGGGTCTATGTGTCCATGCTTCAAGCCCAAGGGCTCTTCCATGAAAGGGCTTGTTAAGAGATATAGAACCATTCATGAACCTCCACCTAACAGCTTAAACTCTTGCCAAAGTTGGTTTTTGACACATATACTTCAAGTGAATTTGACGATATTCAATTAACTAAATATAAAGAACGCCACATTTTAAATGTCTAATTTATAAACTTGCCCTTGAGATTTTATTTTAAATAATGAATTGAAATAACAGCGTAAGCTGAATGAAACAGTGTAAATTTTAACCAATAATTTCATGACCTGTATACATTTGGCAGCTCATACTCATGTCCAAAATAATGGATAAAATTATAATTGCCAGCTCACCTGGCCAATATTGTAAGAAATCATCCGTAGAAGAGAGAGTGATATATCTTCAGGTCTGTAGTTTTCAAGCTCCTTTTTTTCTGATATGGTTTTGCCAAAACTTGAAGCAATAGTGGAAGCTGATAGACCAATCTAGGATTATTTAAACCAGGGAATACTCAGTCATATTGATTGATAAAAAATATCAAATTATTCATATTTATCTACTCCATAAAGTTGTTTTGGAATTTTTTTCTGTACGATGAATTATGGCAATAAAATCAACATCAACATCACCTTTAACCCAAACTACTTGCAGTTGGTGGTCAATAAACTCAAATAAAAAGCGAGAAAAGAATGAGCGAAAAGAACAATAAATAAGAGAGATAAATAAATAAATGTTAATAAGATCAACCGTAAAATTTACCTTTGAATAGTCCAAGCCACCATAAATGTCCCCAACAAGCATGTCAATAGTTCTATTGTCTCCTTTCTGACTCAGCTCAAGCAACTCATCAAAGCTGGAATTCATTTCAACAAAAACCTTGTCAATAGTTCAAATATATCAGTAGATCAAACTAATAAGGAGTCAAATAAAAATGACCTCTTGCACTTTGTTAACAGTCTTCCCAAGCCCCAATAAGTACCACCACCAACATTAGTCCCACTAACCCTCTCAAATTTCCCATCCCCGTCAACCTATGTCAACAACACAAATTAAAAGTGCAGATCACAACCTGTTAGTCTTTATCAAACATAATCCAAAGAGAACAAAAGTTTAATAAAATTAGGAAACAAGACAAAATCTACCTTGATCATACTAACACCAGATCCAATGTTAACTAGAAGATAAGGGAACAAATCATTAGGGTCAATTTGAACAAACTCTTTCTGGCCCTCCATGTGGGTAAAAGCTTCATGACGAATTGCCTACTAAGAAGTGGTAGATCTTCTAATCAGAAATTATTGACAGCGAAGAAGAAAAACTCTAGATCAGTAAGCAAGAATGAATTAATAGCATAGAGCATACTGTTCACATATCCTAAACTAAAGGATAGAACTAGTTTTCATAACAACTAAAAAGGGTTAACATAGTTCTGAATTAAATCTTAGTTTAGTCGCAAATATAGTCAGCTATAGCTATATAAAAATTCACACATAAAACTTTAAGCACATTCCTTCGACCAATTTGCGAATAAAATGGCGAAGGGTAAGGATCATTTTATACTAGTGTAAGTTACACTCTCAATCTTGATCGTTGATCCTATTTATATCTAACGGTTCTGATTTATCAAATATTTGAGCCGTTAGATGCAACCAAATCAATGATCAAGATTTGGTTTAAGACTTCTTATTCTTACATCGGTGTAAGAATATCCTGCCCCAATAGCAAATCCATGAGAAAGTATAAACTCCATATATAACGGCTGACCAGTCTTGCCACATGATTGGCTCTTCAACTTTGAAGCAAGGGAAAGCACAATAATATGCCTCAAAAAAGAAGCAAAGTCTGACATACAACAGTTTTTCTTTCTTTAATTATTTATTTCTTATTATTTATTTGAATAAGAAAGGAGTACAGAGTACCTACTCAAAAGACACCATGGATCCTCCCTATCAAGCTGACTTAAATAAAATGCAAGCAAAACAAACAATTTGAAACAGGGATCCACCTTAAGCAAGAAATTTGCTCCAGCCACAAGACAATCCATTTCATCTTCTTTGTCAAGACTAACTCCAAGTCTTTCTTTGAAAAGGTCAGCATACTTATATGCTCCACCACCAGTAGCCTGTTGCAAAATGAATGCATTACAGCATTACTGTATTACTTCAACAGCATCGATGCAGAAGACAAGCAGAAAAGTACTAAAAAATTGTCCATATTCACAGCTTTCTAAAACAGATAATGTTACAATAATAATACCAACGACTTATGAAACGAATCAAGAAATCCTTGATTTTGGTTATCAAACAAGGACAAAGCAAATCAGTTATCATTTTTGCAATAACTACTTCTAAATGTGATAAGAAGTAATAGGTTATAGCCTCATGTGAGCAAGCTAAAATTATAATTGATGATTTGAAGAATGATATAATCCATACCGGAAAAAGATAATAGAATCTAGACTCTGAAAAAGCGGAAAGAACAGACAAAGACTCAAAGTTACCTTAATTATGGCATTCTGGTCAGCCGCAGCATCAGAGTAATGTGACTCCAACCCTATAAAGCAAGAAATCCATAATCATTATTTCATTAAGATTAAGTTGTAATAACATGCTGAAAATTTCAAGATAAGTTCAATGTAGTTGAATGAACACATAGGACCAACAAAGTTATAAAATGATGTTGAATGCACAGTACTATTTTAGCAATCAAATGTGGCACAGAATGATAAAAGTAGTAAACTGAACAAGACTATATACCACCACAGTGAAGCTGCTTTGAATAAATGAAATCTAAGCACTCATTAATCTTTCTTGTCTCAAACTTCACAAAGTGAAGTCTTCCACCAAGAATAGGGTAGCTTCTCCTGTTGCCATTAGAAAGCCCTAGTCGCTCCTTCACACTTCTCTTCCTTTTATCATCGGCTGATTGGTCTTCATGTCTTGAAAAGTACACCAACTTTATCAGAGATCCTGCCCATATAATTGAATAAGCTTAAGTTTCAGAGATATTTCAGATGCTACCAATCTTTTACATTGACATGGAATTGATCAATTATACATCATTGAATATGGAAACAAAACTGTAAAAAGCCCAAAGCTAGGTTTTTTTTTTTTTAACCTCCACAAGAGAGAGCTCAAAGAACGCCAGAAATAAGGGACACGACCAGGCCTAGAAGAATTACATTAAACGAGAAGAAAAGAGAAGTTCCACAAAAGATGGCAGTTGTTTCTTTCATACATTTCATATGCCTCTTCATGGCAGATACTAAGCAGAAAAAAATGCAAACTCTAACCTCCCACCCAAAAAAAAACAGCAACAAAAAGAATAAAACAAAGATCATAGAACATATATGGTAAGAAGGAAGTAAAAAGGATAAACAATTTTCAAATGAGAAAGAAAAATAAATAAATAAATAAATAAGCATGAAATATGAGTGCTGCTAATACATAAACAATCATTATACCTCCAATATCAAGAGCAAGGTGAGATAAATCATCAGATTGATTAGGCAACAAAATGGTAGGATACTTCTCCTCCACATTCCCTTGAATTTCAGCTTTGCTAACATCAAGTTGAGGCCTTGAACTTGACCTATGGATTGAATTGCCTGCCGTTGGAGCCATGTCTCTTTCCCCTTGACCACCCTCCAAATGTGTTCTAACTTTGTTGTTCCCCTCAGTCTCCTTGTTCTGTCCCTCTTGGTCAATTCCAAAAGTTTGTTGATCCTCTTCTACCAAACCAGCCATTTATATCAAATCCACACCACCCAAACTCGCTCCCTAACCCCACCAAACTCCTTCCCTCACTCACTATATTTGGTTACTGGTCCTATCCTACACTGAAACAAATAAACAACCAACGCAAACATTTTTTATCCATTCATACTTCGTGGTAAAAAATAATAATTAAATAAATTTTATTTACAATATCATGGGATGTGAGATCGCTCGTGTACCTAAAAAAAACAACAACAAATGGGACAACCGACAAAACATTTTTACATTAATAAAATAAAAAAGACAACGTTTTTACAAAATTGCCGATGAAATCTCGACCTTGGGATGATGAAAAAACGAAAGGTGGAGATTGAATGATGCATTAACTCGCCGGGGAATCAGGATTTTAATTTATGGAAGGATTTAATTGTTTGTACCAAAATTGGAGACGATAACAAAAAAGCGCGTAATTGATTTAAGAAGTGATGGTGGTAACATCAACCCCACGAACGAAAAGACGTAAGAGTTGGTGTAGTCTTAATGCTGAACCTATGAAATATTTATAAAAAAAAAACTAAGAGATAAGTGTAGAAATGAAAAGGACTAAACAAAATGGCAATACCTTGGAAGAACGTGAGGTATAGAGAGAGAAGTGTGGATGGGGATACAAACGGTGCTGGTCCTTTTGTTGGGGGCGGCGCATATACAGACAAAGTTCTTCATCACAATGGTCAAGGGTGAACTCTCATTCACCTCTACGCGCCAGCCAAAAGAGCGCGTGTTATTTGTTTTCATTTATTTATTTGTTTATTTATTTTTTATGCTAATATTTGTTTTTGGTAAGTTATTGTAATAATCAATTAATGTTACTACTTATATTACTACTAATCAATTTTATCGTTAGATCGATTATATTGATTCTATATTTATTTTCATCTCTGTATGATTATAATTTTTCATATTTAATGCTTTCACATTAAATATGAAAATAAACATATAAAGTATTAAATATGGGGAATCATAACCATGCAAAAATGGAAATAAATATAATCGTTGGATCAATATAATTGATCTAACGGTGAAATTGATTGGTAGTAACCTTAATTGGTTGTTACAGTATTCTACTTCTTTTTTTTGGAATACTTATATTTACTGCAAATTAAATTTATCACTTATTATTACTAATCTTAACGGTTAATTTTCATCAATATAATGTTTATAATTTATTATAAATTAATAATTAGTTAATTAGTAAAATTCAATAAATTATAACTATTAAATTGACGAAAATCAACCGTGAATGGTAAGAAGTGATCAACTTAACCCATTTTTCCTTTTTTCTTTTTTGTGAGGTTAACGGGTGAAAAAACCTCAACCAAAGAAAAAAAGAAAACAAACAAATCAAGAAACATGGCTTCGTAAGAAGGCCCACAGCAGTCATATCAACTAAAACTAATTTGTAGAGATCACGAGGAGGTGAATGGACAAAACTGAGGGAATCATCCGGCTGGCGATCAAAAGACATGAGATTGATTAATTCATACATAATTTGGTATTCAATAATGTTATCAGAATTTTTATAATATAATATTGTATTTTCTTAAATTAGTTTTTTTTTCTTTTAATCAATTTATACATTCGTTCAAATTCAAGAAGTTATAATTTTAAAGTAAAATATATAAAATAATTTGCACAATAAAAAAAATATTTTCATTATATAACTTTTTTTAAAAATAAATTTTTAAATTGATTATCAATATTAATGGCTGATAGCTGCAACAATAATAATAGTGGTACTTGTGACATATGGTAGAGACCAACTCTCATATTGTAAGTGAAACGAATAAGAGAAGAGCATATGTCTATAATTGTAATAAAAGGGATATATGTTTCTTATCTTATTATGTCAAATTTTATCCAAAATTTCTTGAGATAAATAAACCAATAAGATAAACTTATCATATCTTGTTGCTTACCAAACAACGAATAAAAGTATAACATGATGATTTATCATACTTGTCCACAAACAAGCTCTAAAGATATCATTATTTTAATAAGTTAGAAAGTATTTGCTAGAAAAATATTAAAAAATAATAACCAAAAAGGGATTATTTATTTTACCCTTTGACATGTCAAGTGTGCAATATGTTATTCCCCAAGCATATGATGCCTATAATAACCTGCATAATTAAAAGTCCCTAATTGGGTTTAGAGTATCATTAAGGAGGTTAAGCGAGGATTTTTTAAGCAAAATAGCATCAGGTGCCTACTCGCGGGCATGCTAGCTTGAGCGATCGTCTCAACGAGCAGACACAAAAGTTGTTAAAAAAATATAAAAAACACTCTATCTCCTCAATTCTTCAAAACCTAACCAATGGATAGACCCTTTGTGTGAAAATACCGCCACCCATCTCCATTAATGCATCACCTTAGCTCTATAGAGTTTATCCAAGTCAAGCCACTAACTTATCCTCTCCATCTTCATTGAGTGTGTGACCTTTGAACAAACAAGGAACACAATATTCTTCCTCTCCAACAACACCATTTTCGAACCCCATTTGTGTTCAACCAAGGAACTGAGTTTTTAACCCTTGAAAGCTTGTCAATCGTTCATTGGCAAGGCTTTTGGTAGTTTCAAGGTAAGGGAACCTTGTTTCCTTGGTTATTGTTGGGTTTTATGAAATGTGGGTAAGGGTTTCTTGGTGTATTGGGGGAAATCCGAAAATGAGCTTTAATCTTGTTGATTGATGCTTGGATATGTGTTGTTGTGTATAGGGTTGATGTTGGTGGTAATTATATTGGAATGGAATCTTCTTTGAGCAAGGTTATCTAAATTTTAAGCATAGGAGGTAAGCTTTAAACCATGTCTTTGATGATTTATGAGCCTTGGGTTGTGATAATTATGCTTGTATTGTTATTGATAATACCCACACACTTTGAATAGGTGTTGTAGGTGATTTTTGATATTGGACTATTTTGGGAACCAAAAGGAGCAAGAGGATAACACCATCACAGGTAAGCTCTTGGACCTTGAGGATTTTTCCCCTTGATGTTCCACCACACTTCATAAGGATTTGTGGTTTGTATAGCATGATTGTGTATTAGTATTGAAATTGAGTGTTGTTGCTTGAGATTGAGAATGTAATGTGCATGTGTGATTGCATTGTGGATAGATTATCTGGCCAATAAAATTAATTGATACTAGCATTCTGGGGATGGTTGATGAACCTGAGGAATTATGTGGTTGGTGTTGATACACCTTGCATGGATATATACTATTTGTTATGTACCTTGTTGTAAAATGTCGTTTTAATACCTGCATATCATGGAAGTGAACTCAAGGTTAGAGGGGTCTCCAAGGACCCTGAGTTTACTGAGATTGTATCTCACTCAATGTAGGGATTATTTTTCAGCTACCTCGAGTGGCACAATTGATGTTTCTTTTAGCAAGAGGTCTGAGTATGGAATTATGATGTTTTTATTGTGGATTTGCACCTTTTGACATAAGAGCATACTAGGATCATGTTTTGAATTGTATTTTACATATATGTATCTTGGAGTAATGCATATTTGATCATGTATGTGCCTATGTTAAAGTGCGAGAGACGTGAATTTATATATTGATTTAGATGGATTATTGTATTTTGAGAACATTGTATCATGTTATCCTTCATTTTGCAAAAGCTTTTATGAATCTTTCGATTGGAGGCAATGCAAGGGACTTGAGTAATATGACCACTTGTAATCTAATGTTCCTTGATGTATTTTGAGAAGTTGATGAAATATAGATATAAGAATGTCCATAAGAAAAGAAATGAGAAGGATAGATTGTAATCTATATTATTGATATATGTCATGGTAAGTTTGTTATGGAGAAAAGATGATGGTCAATTAAGTACATTGAGAATAAATAAATGGATTATGTATCATCAGATGTGTAGGAAAAATAAAAGGAACCACTTTTTGCAAAATAGGGCATGCTCTCTGACTTGCTCGTTGACTTGCTCGCTGAAGCGAGCAGTCTAGTGAGCAAGCCCTAATGCTGGCAGTAGCTTCGGTTTGTGGAATTAATTACTCGCTAACTTCCTCGCTTAATTGAGTAGCTCAACGAGGAAGGGTGCAACTCGCTGATCTTGCTCGCTCAAGCGAGAAGTGTCAGACTTCGCTATTTAATTTTTATCACCTTATTTTCTTATGGGAGCTACTTGGTGCATGATTTAGAGTAAATGTAATTTTTTTTCGCATGATTTATGAGTTGTAATTATATAAATAATTATTGGAGTACGGAACTTGTGTTCATCCAAATGAAAGTGAAACAAAAAGAATTTATTTATTGTAATTCCATATTTATTTTTATTTCTGTGTTTTGTTACTCTAATTTTAATACGCTTAATATCATAAGTCATGTTAATAAACCAGTTATAGAAAGGGATATTACATTTTATGGTATCAAAGTAGTTTATTTTCTAAGTGATTTGCTTGATTGTGTGACTATTTAAGGTGCTTATTGAGTGGTTTTAGTATTCATTGTGATAAGACATATATGATCACTAAGTGTGAGCTTGATTAACTCATTTCTTTGTATAATATACGTATAGTCATTGTGACTACCCAAAATGCTCTATAAGCACCTAATGATCAACCAAATGAACAACGAGATCCATTTCTAACTGCTCTAGCTAGGATGTAGCGAAAGTTTATGGAAGTGAATCGGCAAGCCAATTTAGAGATGATGAGGGCTTTCATAAATGTGGTGAGGGGGCCATGAGGAATAAAGGCCAACCATCACCACCATCCCCACATCCATCTCCACACACTTTTATTTATGAGGATAGCACTAGTAATGCTGAGGGTGGAGGATCATCTCATGTTAAGCCAGTGATGGATGCGGTGACCAATGAGAAGAGGTTGATTACTTTTCGTAAGCATCAGCCATCATCCTTTGATGGGGGATATGACCCTGTTGCTGCGGCTAAATGGCTCCAAGCATTGGAGAAGATCTTCACAGTCATAGAGTGCCCTTACCACCACAAGCTTCTTTATGCTACATATCTGTTACAAGGTGATGCTCATGATTAGTGGGTAAATACTTCCCAACCACTGAGGGCCCAGGCTCAAGCTATCACTTGGTAATTATTTGAAGCCCAGTTCTTGGATAAATACTTTCTAAGAGATGCTAGACAACAAAAGCAAGGTGAATTCGACAACTTAGTCCGAGGGAACATGTCAGTTAATGAATACTTGGCAAGGTTTAATGAACTAGACAAATATGCTAATTTCAGAAGAGCTTTGCCCGATCCTAAACACTTGGCATCAAAGTTTCAAAGAGGATTGAATGAAAAGATAGAAAAGCGGATAACGAGGACTGGATCTAAAGACTTTGGCACTTTGGCGAACTAATGCTGATAAGTTGAAGAGGTGATACTTAGGCGTAAAGGTAGCAAGCATTCTCATGC